CCGAGAGAAAACTGTATTTTAAATTCTGGGCCCCAACATGAAGGATGTTTCCCTATTTATATCTTTTTACCTTATTTGTCTCCCAAATATGGGGTTTTCTGGTCCCCTCTGCAAGTTCTTAAAGAGCCCTATGTGCTGGGGCTTTGGGACCTCAACCAAACGTCTGGCCTGGTGCCAGCACTGATAACTTTGTCTGGGGAAGGTTTATGGCCTCTCTGGAATGGGAGTAGTCTTATTTTCTTTATTATTTAAGCAAGCAAGCATTTACAGGAGCCACAATAGCAGGGTTAAAACTTCAAACAGCAGTTTTTATATCGATGGATGCTTCAGTTCGGCTGTTCGGTCTACTAATATTTGCATATTAGGGTTTTATATATATTGATAAGAAATCGCCAGGTAATGCAAAGTCTAAGATAAATGTACACATGGGCATTGATAAAATATATAGCATCTACTGAGCATTTACCATATGCTTAACAATGTTCTAAGTCCCACACTTATTATCTAATCTTCAAAGTCAAGCACTATTCCTTTGAGTCAGATACTAGGAATATCTTCTTCTAAGATATAAAGACACACACTGAGATATTAAGAAATTTGCCAAGGTTACATAGCTGGTTAAGTGATAGAGGAAGGGTTTGAACCTAGTCTGATTCCAGAACCCATATATAATTACTATACTATGCTACCTCTCAACATCTTTAATTGACTTTTTTTAAAAATTAAACTTGTAGCACCTTATAAGAACTAGCCTTGTCACAATGCTGAATTTTCAAAGATTCACATGTATGTCAAAGCTTCTCAATTTCAGCATAATCCTTACCATAAAAGGAAAATGTTGTCATCATCCATTGCATATCCAGGACTCAAAGCATCCAAGTTTCAAGACTGGGAAAGAAGTTTCTATAAAGAAACTCAGATCTAGTTTTGGTCTCCTGAAATTTCATTTCTGCAAAAGACATAGCCAAAAGTTAAAACAGTACTGTAAGAGCTGATGTTAGTTTGAATTATTTGTAGTTCCTATTTTCCACCCTTCTGTGAACCCCCTTTTTCTTGCGGAAACATGCAGGTACAGGTAAAAACTACAAGCCTGTCTTATATAGGTTGCTTAAAAGTAACTTTTAAAATTATATAGCACATAAATATAATAAAATCAGAAAATACAGGTTAACAAGATCACCCATAGAACCCAATTCTAGAGACAATAACGCCTAGTATTTGAATATATCTTTTCAGATGATTTCTCAGTAAGTACATACAAATGTTTTAAGCAGAAAAGGATTATATGTATGGCTCTGTAACTTGTTTTTAACTTAATGTATTATAAATACCCTTTCATTTCAAGAAAGGTAAACCTGTACCATAACTTTTAAGTGACTGTATAGGGTTGCATTGTATGATTTTGACAAAATTGATTTAACCAACACATGGATTCCCTTAATCTTATAGACTACTAAAATAGTGATTACTTAAAAACTGCTAAGTGGTTGATGGAATTATACCAGTTATAAGTGCTTTTTCTCTACTGTTTGAATTTTTAGATTAAAAATTCTTTTTTTAAGGTTTTTTTTTAAATTGATATTTTACAGAGAGAGGGAAGGAGAGGAAGAGAGAGAAACATCAATATGAGAGGGAAACATTGATGGGCTGCTCCTGCACACCCCACACCTGGAATCCAGAGACCTGGACATGTGCCCTGACCAGAATCAAACTGACAACCTTTCAGTGCAGGGGATGACATCCAACCAACTAATGAAAAATTCTTGATCTTATTACTCTCTATCTCAGAGAGATTTTTTTTTTTTGGTCAAGAGATCATAGCACAATGAAGTATTGTAATATCAAATTCATAAAGATTTAGGAATTACTTGGGATCATGATCCCAGTAAGTATCCCAAGAAGCAGAATTTAATTCCGGTGTTTGCCCTAGCTTTAGTCTGCTCAGAGCATGTGTTTAATCAGGATAATCAGCTGAAACACGGACTTAACATGCATTTCATCATGGCAAACTGTAAATGGAAAACCAACACCAGCTCCTTGTCCCTAAAGCAGGAAAACATTGTTGAGGTTAGAACTAAGGTCTTTTCAACTATCAAATTTCAGCCACTAAGAACAACTGAGCCCCAAAACTTGCTGGGTGATTGGAAATCCAAATGAGGTAAAAATGAAGATTTTTCTTTCACACTTACCTCTGATGTCAGATGAATCCAGCTTCTAACTAGGATGAAGTTGAACTATAGGATCTATCAACTATCTAGCATCATCTCTGGAAAATTAAAAAAATACACAAAGGTTACAAATACAAGACTTGAATGTACACCCGCCTACTCCACACCAAATCACACCCATACAGCATCAAAGAAAATTACATCTAGGAAAACTGCTCATTCTTTTACTTAAATCTCCATTCACTATTATAAATTGACCCATCTATTTGCAGGATGTCATCAAATGCTCAAAGTTTGGGTAAAACTATAAAATAAGTCTAACCATCCTCTGAAAGTTTATAATAGTCAACAGTCTCTCAATAAGAAAACAGGTATGCAGGGAGAACCAAGATGGCGGCATAGGTTAACGCCGGAGTTTGCCTCCTCGAACATTCATGAGAAGCACAATAATTGCAAGATCCACCCATGTTTTTCCTTTCTTTTTATTGCTGAGTTGTATTCTTTTTCATGAATATGTCTTAGCATGTTTATCCATTTTTTTTTGTTCCCAGTTTGGGGCTATTACTTACATCTATTAAAGGGAAGACCAAGTTAAAACAGCAAAAATTTAAATCAACAATAAAAATTACACAAAAATACCACACACACACACACACACACACACACACACTCTTATCTCTCACCTAGA